TGGAGTGGGAGTGAAAGCAACCAGTGATCCATGATAAACACGGAGAACTCTGACGATGACCACAGTTTCCTCCAAAATAACATCTGGGTGGTGAAGTGCAAGGCCTTGAGTCAACGAGCCGCACAACCACCAGCCGCGTTAGTCACCAGTAAAACAGTGGGCTCACAATAAACATTACAGTTTATTGGGCAGAATACTACATGTGCATTTGTCCTTTCTCTGTGTTTCATATTGACATAAAACAGCTTAACATTATAGTTAAAAACATTGTCATAATTTCTGACACTATAATGTTTATGCATGATTGTGAAAAGCTCTTTGCCAAAAGCTATGTGGCAGCATGTACTAAAAAAAAGCTAAACCATTCATGTTTACTCCCAGTTCACTCGGCTGGACTACAAAACAGAAGGATGATCTTCAAAGTATGAGAGATCATATTCGTGGTGATAAAACAGACATTCCCCACTCAGACGTGAAATCTCGTGAGATAAAATGGGACTTTGAAGTAAACGAACATGACTAACCTTGCATTCTTATTGGCTAGATATCCAATATAACAGGCAGCGCATTTGTTTGTCAGTGACAATCACACCAACATAATCCAACGTGATTCTTAGCCCGGATTTAAAATCTGAGCATTCCCAACATCCTTCCATTGGACCAGAGGACTTGCAATACACCACAAAAGGTGGGATTATCTGATAAGATTATCTTTATATCCGTTACGTTATCTTATGCACCTTTAAGAACGAGATGGGAAATTGTGGCATCAACAAGCCATCTCCATGCCTTGTTTTTCTTCAGCTCAGCAACTAATTCAGGTCATTTCACTCAGTGAGTGAACCTAGTTCAGTTGCTGAGCAGATCAAAAACACGGTATGGAGATGACTTGATGCCACAATTCCCCATGTTTGCGTTAAGATTATCAGAAGGAGTGAGGCTGGTCAAAAATTGGCTTTCGTCTTTTTACCAAAGTGAAACCTTCTTGAAAACCACCAATAATGACAATCAGGACACATCCTCATCAGATGCTCAAACTACCTCAGCTGGTTCCTTTTGATGAGGAGGGGCGCCTGCTCAACTCTGAGTTCCCCCACGATGGAGCTCCTCATCCTAAGGCTAAGCACAGCCATAATGAGGAAGCTTTTTTCTTTATCATAATCAAGAGCTTCACCTTTCAGCTCCACTCCATTCACTATCAAGTATAAGCTTCAAGCCATCAATCCAACATTACACCATGTTACTCCTCCTCTTGAGGCAGGGACTCATGCCTAATCCAGAGGGGACATTTCACCATGACTTCTGACTTGGATGTTTAATTTATTTTATTAGATCATCAAGCTAAGTTCCAGGGTCTAGCCATCTGCCTTCAATCTCATTAAGTCAGCAGATAGCAGAGAAGTGGCCTTTATATGGAAGAGCTGCATTCAGCTGACGCATCCTGCTTTGCCCTTCTCTGCATCCTGGAGAGAGCCGATATCAGATGACAAGGACATAGATGATAAGAGGTGAGTGTGTCCTGCATACATCATCACAGGTCCAACTAAACCAGGAGTACTCACCACCGACCCTGATCCTTCAACCCGGGATCCGTATGGAGCCGACAGGGACCAGACAGACGTAAGTGCAGAGAGAAGTGCTCACAGGATACGCAGAATAATAGTAAACTGGATTTGTTCCACTGCTCAGGTCAGAGGGAGAAACTATTATTTTGCTGCCAGCAGTTCAACTTGGAATTTACAGATAATCCTCCAGAAAAAGGCACTAGGGACATTTGTTAAGAGGGTCTAGGAGGAGTCAGAAGACTTTTGAGGCACAGCAGAGTTGAACAAGTAGTTTATTTAAAAATAATACGACATAATGAAAAAAATCCAGTGAGGTCATTTACTAGGCGTCCAGTCTCTAGAATTTAGGGATTAAGGGAGATGATGTTGACATATTTTCCAAAACTCAAAACAGTTATCTTCTAACAATTTAAGTCCTTAATGCCTGATAATAAAAAAAGAAAGAGAACTCTTGTTTTTAGTTTCAAAAGGCTTAAGTGCTTGTCTGCTGGGAACTGAACAAAACATCATTTTCCCCATGAGCACACGGTGGAGTTCTAGACTTTAAACCACATGTCAAGAAAGAAGAAATACGACCAAATATTCAATAGCTTGGAAGTTTGTCACCTTCTTCAGTTTAGCTGACTCCTTTGTTTCCAAAAGAATATTTTTTTCTTTTTAAATATAAACATTTCTGTTTTTTCTCCCCTGTATAATTCATTATAGGCTCCATGCAGGGTGCCACTTGAATAAATTACAAGGTGATGCTGACATAACGAGCCAATTTAGCTGCAAAGTAGACATATATAGTACCTCATACCTCCTTCAGTAGTGAAAAATGAAAGGAGAATGGTTGAGTGTTTCTTGTACTACACAGCCTTCGCCCCTAAATAAATAGGTAAGGGCAAGGCTGACATAATCTATCTCATCCAGAGCATCTACCCTCCCTAATCACCTCCTCCTTTATTGAGCCTTGGCTCGGCCTCGCTATCTGACTTTCACTCTCCATGACCTCACATTGTTGCTCGTGCTTTTCTGGCCTTGACAGCAGCAGAATCTCACCCTGATATACAAAACCAAAATGTGCTATCCATCCACAGGGAACACTGTCACACCCCTAAAAGATCATTTTGAAGTAATGCAGCGACAAAGGTTCATTAAAGTTACCGTATCCTAAAAGGCCCCATTAATCTAAAATGGAAACAATCACAATTTGGGTATTTTTTTGAAAAATGACACTAATTACATCCACTTTTTTTCCTGGATTAGCTGGCTATTTGAAAGGTGCAATGGCTCAAGTTGAACTTTACACCTCTTTGAGTCCTTTTAGTTAGAAGCATGACAGTAAAGATAGTCATAGAGCTGGAATTTGTGATTCAGGAACACCGTCTGCTCCTTCAAATTTGAACCTGCAGCCCATTCTCCCTCTATTTGCCCCAGATCTGTGACTCAGTACACAAAAATGTCCTGTGAGTCAAGAACAAAGAAAACACATGCATGGCAACTGTGCACTCTCCAGAGATCTTGTATTGATTAAAAGATTTACTATGGCCTCAAGATAATTGTTTTGGGAAAGATGATGTAGAAAACTCTTTCATGAACCACGTGCCAAGATATTTAGCAGTTTTTCATTGAGCTATCACAAGCACGTGGATGGCTTTGCTATCATCATTCCATACCACCAGCAACAAACCAAAATGACATAAGACGTTCATTAATTAGCAAGAAAAACACCCTAAATGTCAGCTATAATTGAGAATGTTTCTGTGGTTCGGTGGAGGGGAATTACTCAGATGACAAACTGGCTAAATGATAAATCATGACCTCAGTGCCCAAATAAACCGTGGCAATGTGGGTGGATTAGAAAAGCACTGGGCGCGAGTCCAGAACAGAACAATTTGACAAGATAGGTCTGAATTTGTAGGCAATAACAATCCATCAAAATATTCAGGGAAATAATGACTTGCTCTTAAGATCCTTGATCAGAATTATGGTTGTAGCTTTGCTAAAAAGATTCATCAAACTTTTAAAAAAAGTTGTTTCCAATGAGGCTGGCTCATAAGCAGTCAGACAACTGAGCCAAGAAACTATTAGGCCTGTCTGATTAGCAGTCTTTGGAGAATTTGCTGAATATACTGAAAGAAGCCTTTGTTTGAGCAATTATTAGTTGGATACATTATAGTCACGGTTATTCCAATAAAAGAACAGACTGAGGCACTCAAAACATTAAAAAATTACATTTAAAAATCAACCTTTCAAGTTCTTTTGTTTAACTAAGTAACATGGATTAATGTTCCTTTTTGAGAAGCCAATATTTATAATTACATTTTTGGACACTTCCAAGCATGGCAGCTAGCAGCAGCAAGGCACTGCTAGAGTTTACACATGAAATTGGACCTCTGGTTACATTTATAACAAGTCATCAGAAGTAGCTCCAACATTACTAGTAAATGTTTGTTCAAAATATTTTATATAATTTTAAAAACCAAAACAAGAGATTTTCTTTTTTCTAAAAAATACATAGGTAGGGACTGAATCAAGCAAACCTCTGGGTAAAAACAACATTTATCTCATTTGGGTGACCATTAGTGACAATTTATGAACAACATTCTTGAGGAGGTTTCCAAAAGTTCTCAAAATGTTTGTGAAGGTTCTCAGCTGTTCCCTTGTGAGGTTAAGGGTTGCTCTTCTGTTTAACACATTTTGACCATGTTTAAGAAAGTTGCAAGACAAACGTTCTCTGGCAGAGTCATTGCAAGCTGCTGGAACTCATCTCAGACCCTTCTCAATTGCTTCTCGTTTTAACTTTTAAGAGTTCAAAATGTAAGAAATCTGATAACAAATAAGTATAAATGTGTTGCTGAATTGTTCCTTTTACCTTCTTAGCGACTCACAAAATTTGCAGTTTAGTCTCCAACAAGTGGCATTTTTGGCCTCAAAACCAAAACTTAAAAATGAATGAAGTTCTAATTACTTGGGGCAAATAAAACATCTAACAGACTACAGAAATCAGGTGATTTCAGTCATGGACGTAATTTTCACTTTAGAATTTTCACGGGGGAGGGGGGAGGGGTATCTTTACGGTATACTCTAATGGGAAACAGACTTCAACACAAACGGTTGTTTTCTGCTTGGTACTAGAGCTCATCCAGTGTTAATTTAATATAGTGTAATATTGTTTTGGATGGTAAAAAGTGCAGGGGTCAAAACTTGACTTTGGAAAATGTGGGGGGGACATGTCCCCCCGTTCCCCCCCAAAATTACGTCCATGATTTCAGTGGAAAGACACCCATTTGTGAATTTGCTTGCAGAGTCAGTAAAGAAGTGATTGACCAACAGCAAATCATTTTGACCGAACAAAATATTAGAAAAATAACTAACTTGCTGGAGTCAAAATGATTATACTTTTAAAACATGTCTTAGAAAACGTCATTTAACCCAGATGTAGGAACTCACGGAGTTTGGATGGGTGGTTTGGAGGTGGCGGGTCGCGGGGTCAGGACCTTGGCTGTGTCACTGGGGGGGCGTCTCTGTTGTTGGTCTTTTTGAAAAGGATTTGTGCCAGGCTCGATTCGCCTCAGAGTGCCTCGCTCATGGATGTACACCTGTTCTGGGGTCACCTCCTCGCAGCGAGGCCCCTGGAACCCTGAGCGACACACGCAGGTATGCGGTCGGCTGCAGGAGCCACGGTTCTGGCAGGGGGGCTGGCAGTCAGCTGAGGAGAAAACAAAGAGATCAGGTATTCATAGGTCACATTAGAGCATGGGCCGCCCTCATGGGGAGCAAATAACTTTTTCTGATCTCAACTTTGGGGTTTGATCAGAATGTAGTCAGTCAAAAGCTCATTAGTTTCACTTCTTAACCATTTTGCTACTTCTTCAACAGAGCCCCTTGGGGTGCTTTCAGCTGCAATTACTGTTGAGTTTTTAACTCTAAATATAGTCACTAACATTAAATTTATACATCTAGTTTCTGTTTGAAGTAAATGTTGGTGTTTCTACGCAGTTAGTACACTACTTATCAAAAGTCCAGTGTGTACTTTTGCAGCTTAAAACAGCCATAAAAGAAAAAAGCCATAAAAAGAGAGAAAATAAGAAAAACTGGAGGCTGACTGAGTAAATCTAGTTGATCACAGAGATGGCAAGTAGAGCTGTATCCTTTATTTCTGAAAAAAAAAACTGAAATAGATTACGCTCACGCTCCTTAGCTGAACGTCTTGGAATCACGTTTGATTTACCCTCCTGGAGTTTTTCTGCAACCCTTCGAGCTGGCGACTTACTGCGCTAAAAATTTAAAATGTGAGTTTTACGTCCAAGTGAGACCACCAGCAAGGCATCGCTACTTAATCGACCTCTGACCGTGACGGTGATTAGAACATGAATTTGTGCATAATATTTCCAGCAGGCTGCAAAGAGAATTAATCTGCGCCATTCTCCCCTGCCTCACAAGCCTTCCATCACACTCCAGTTACTTCAAATGCAAAAAGACACTGTGGCATGCAATTTAAAACGATCAAGCTGTTCCTGTGACACAAATGAATGTAGCAGACAGAACTTGAGGATTTATGACACTGTCCTCAAACAGTAGATTAGGCCACTGGTCTGTGGTGGCTAAAGCAAACAGTGGTGCTCTGTCAACAGCTATGGAATGCTATTGACACAGATGCTGTGAACACGGACAGATCACGGGCAGGAACACTGCCACAGCTCGTGTTGGCAGTCAGAAAGAGAAGTGCTACCTGCTGCACACTTCCTGTTATTGTGACAATGCTCAGATTTTGAAAACTCCACTTCCTGTTCAGATTCCATTACAATGCTTTTCAACAATTTATTTCCCAAAACAAATTTAGGCTTTTCTGATGGGAAAAATGAACAGAAGAACAAAAATTGACTGAAGTATTGCTTTATTAACTAACTGGAGCATGCACATTTAGAAAGAAGTGCTTGTGGATTGTATAAATTGGAAAACGATTCCAGTTTTCCATTACGGGATAAAACAGGGACAGCCTGAGTTCTGTTTGGCAAACGTCATCCCTCTAAAGTATGGGCTGTCTGAGTGCTGCCGTCTTGTTCAGAGTCTGCTCAAGCTCAAATCCAGGACGTAGCGTTGGATGAAACAGGTCACACACTCCAGCAACCTCATGTTGAAAGGGGAAAACTTGGTAATGTGTGAAAATAAATGCTGCTAATAAAACTGTCCAAACTGCAATCAAAAAGGAAGCAGAGCAGGTCCGTCTCGCAGTGACGCGTGTTTAATGACCCGTTTTGAGCTGTGAGGCACAGAAATTGATGGCAAATAAACCTGTCGCCTCGAGTTGATGACAGAGGGGACAGGTCAGTGACTCTGGACCTGACGTCTGCCTCACAAGAAGCCTGCGTGGTCCTCGAGTACAGAGTCAGGATCTATCTGCGTTGTCTCTGGGCCCTGCCTCTGTGCTGTTGAGCACAATGTCACAGTAATTGCTGTCATGCAGATTTGTCTTGCACATCATTAAAACTAATTGCCTCGCATTCCATCCATTTCAGAAATATGTGCAGCAATTATTACTTTGCGAGAGTAATAACAAAATGAGAATCCATCAAAAACGAAAGAGGAGAAATGGCAAACATTCCTGGCATTGCCACTTCAGTCTTAATTATGACTGAGCCAGACTGGCCAAAATTTTGGCGAGTGAGTCCATACCCAGTCATCTGAAAACAGAAGACACTTAGACACACACATTTGAATGGGGAAAGCATCATCTTTAGGTTTTCCTGAAATATTTATTACTTCAAAAATGATTTAATGTTATGTTTTAAACCATATCATTATTATTTATGGCAATGAGCATGAACAGGGCAATTAAAATGGATTATTACCACTTGAAAAGCCTTGACTATCATGAAACTACAGATTCTAACTGAAATTTTCACATGCATTAGAGCTGAATAAGTCATTTTGAGAGGTTGGGCTTAAAGCTAATAATTCAGAGTTTTCCCCCTCTCAGGAATTATGTGTGATTGTTTATAAAGAGATAGTCTTGCCCTGTAATGTAAGCAAATTCATATTTTTATTTTTTGCTAAGCTCGTCCGCCGTCCCTGAGAGCCAAATGCAATTTGAATTGAGCGTGGTCGTGAAAAGATGTTAGTCTGAGAAGGGTCCGATCATTGGCATGCATCAAGCAGAGAAAACATCTAAGGAGATTGCAGAAACGACTAAAATTGGGTCAAGAGCTGTCCAATGCATTATTAAAAACTGGTCTGTTAAGTCCAGATGGACCCTGTTCCAGAGGGATGAGTGCATCAGGGTAACAAGTGAGGCAGGTGAAGGGATGCACCCATCAGGCTTAGTGCCTACTGTACAAGCCTGTGGGGCAGTGCTGTGACCTGGGGTTGCTGCATTGGTCAGCTCTTCTTTCTATGTGTTTCATTTCAGTTCAATGAGAAAGTTCCTTTCAACGATGTACATGAGCAGTATGAAGTTAATAAGAGCAGCGTGGTTATGGAAAGTTCAAAATCACTGTGCAAATAAATAAATACTGAACTTGCCCCAACTTCTGAAGTTTATGATAAATGACCCACACTTGCATAGTTCCTTTCTGAGTCAGAGGACTCCAAAGCGCTTTAACTACAGTGATGGTGATGAACTACAATGTAGCCACAGCTGCCCTAGGGAACATTGACAGAGGTGAGGCTGCCGAGCACAGAAGCAACCGGTCCTTCCGACCACCACCAGCAGGCTCGGAGGGTGAGGTGTTTTGTCCAAGGACACGACGGACACAACAGCAAGAGCCTGGGTTCAAACCTGTAGAAGCCACTGATTACAGGTAGAACTCAAAAGAGCCTTTCAAGTCAGTTTAAGCTTTGAAAAGGATGAAAGTTTAAGTTTTGTTGGCATTATTATCTGCAAATTCAACATTTTGCATCAGACCTAACATTTATTTTGAAAGAACACTTAGCAACAATTTAGTAGTATTTGAGCACATTTGGTTGTTACCCATAGTATATCTTAGTTTTACTTCCAACTTGTTTTCTTTGATTTAGACCAATGAGAATATTTAGGGTTCTACGAGAAAAAGCTGGCATATTTTGTGTTTTTACATAAAAACCTCATATGTATTAAAGAGGACTGTAAGCTCTAGGGTTTTCTTTTCTGGCAGGACAAACCATCCTTCTGTTTTCTATTTTTGGACAAAGAGTGAAGCTGAAAAGTATTTTTGGACAAAAATACACATCTCTAAGCACTTATGATCATTTTATTATCAAAGTATTTCAAAGAGACCACCAGCACACTGACGAGAAGAAGTGATTTGGTGCAACGTTTCAGCCGGTTCAGCAGGCGCCTCATGTACAAAGACTAAATCCCTCATCGCAGCCAGAACTGGTTCGATTCCAGACCAGTCTCTGCCTCCCTCTTTCCCACCGTCAAATTAAAGTGCCCAAGTGAATGTAGCTAATAACTCTATGGTGTCTTGAGAGGAAAATTATTTAGTGAAATTGATTGGTTTCCAAAAGGAGGGTGTAGAAGTCTAAGACATCCTGGAGGCACTGCCTGGAAGTCATTAGGGGTATTTCACTTTAGGGGCACTTCCACACTGGCTTCAGTTTGGATAATAAAGTCTCCATCTATTAGTCTTTGGGCTACGTTCTTACAACAATGGAATGAGAGGTGGCAAATATGCATATTCATAAATCCAACAAAAGCAAATGAGTAACTAATCCAATAGTGAGCTGCACACACATAATAACACTTATTGCACGATATGACAAAAATCAAGATACATTCTTTTCAAGGATGTCTTATTTGTCTTGTACCTGCTGACTCAACCCTTATTTACCTTTGTCTAAGCAATCTTAATGCCCAAATTGTTCAGGATTCCTCTTCTGGTTTAAAGTTGTCTGTTACAAGCTGAAGTTTGAGTCTTTAATTAAGATAGCCATTCTTGTCCCCCTTCCACAGGATTCTCATTTCATACTCGTGCTCGCTTCCCCTCCATTACAATCCACCTGAGATTTGCCTTTCCCTCCGAGCGACTCAAAGTAATACAACCCGTTAAATCTTAACAGTCCCGTCACTGAGCAGGGGAGCAATCTGAAACCAAAATCTGACATAATTCAAACGTGTTTCACATTTCCTCACTTTGAAAAATAGACTAGAGCTCAAAAATGTCATCTGGCATTTCTGAAAATTGTAGACAATGAAAATATGTTTACTGTCATTTTAGAAAAGACTTTCCACAGACTGCTCTAGGGGTTAGAATTTGGTAGAAGTCATGAAAAAATGAACAACTCACTAGTGATTGGCTTTTGAAGTGCCGATTATTAAAATACATTCATGTCCATGCATCTGGATGCACATTTTGCTGCATGACACAAAATGTTTCCCAAATTTGTGCAGAACATCAACAACAAAGAGTAAAACTTTTATAACTGAATCATCGGTCTGGCAAACCTCCTGTGATGACAGCAGGAGCCGGTTTTAAGGAGTCACCAAAGAACCTGACAGACCTCATGAGGGAGGTCAAGTATTCAAGACTGTGGGGGGCAAAGTTGGGAGACAAGGTTAAAAATGTGCCTCTCATCCATTCTAACTGTCCACTGAGGAATTAAGAAAAGGTCTATTGAGCGGTTAATACAATTGCCCCTCAATGCTAATCATTTTGAGTGAGTGTAAATCTCTTTGTAACATGTGATTTCCACATGCTAGCCAGTACAAGCCCTATCATTTCAAACACT